TTCTTTCCACGTATCAATGATGTTTCATTTAGTATTGCATACCCCTCAACAATTTGGATCCGAAGCCACTGGCACTGAGGATGCCCATTTTTGGGAGGCCAGCGAGTTGGATCCGAGGTTTGGCGAGGGAGGATTTGATATTCCAGCTCAAGCTCAAGAGCCTGGTACGTTTTTACTTGATTCCATCAACAGGTTTAGAATATATCAACTGATATACTCATGATTAGCTCCACGTGTTGAGCTTGATCTCACTAATTCACCCGGACCCATTGCAGCTCCGCTCCCCCAATCTGGAACGGTCCTTGCCGCCAGCGACGAATCGAAACCGTCGAAAGCCAAGTTATCCTTTAAAGCTTATATACCAATTCCCCTTACTGATACTGAACGACGAAACGGTTTGGCTCAAACCTATGTCGACTACGAGACTGAAGACCCCATTGACATCGTAGTCCAACTTCATGGCGTGTCATTGACTGAAATCAAGAATTCCCTTTTCGATATGTGCAACACCAACAAGAATGGTACCGGACGAATACTCAAGCAAGCTGAAAACGATAATCAGGTCAATTTCAAAGCTTACATCATTCAAGGGGGCGTGTTTGGTAAAACTTTGACTCCAGCAATCAAAACGGACTCAGTTTTTATTGCCTTCAAGAATATGGCAAAAACGAAGAAAGGCAAAGAGATGGGTTTTCGCATCATGATGGAAAACCCAAAGAAAATGGCTCGCAATAACTCAAAGGTAAGTGACTTGTCTTGTCCACACTTCCACTATCTTTTGTTTCAAACTCACTCAGTTCTCACTTTGGACGCTGAACAGCAACTTCAAGTCGATCAAGCATTGGCCCATGCTGATCCGGACGCAATTGATCGTGCTCGACACGATCAATTGGAGATGGCAGTAAGTCTTCATCTATTTCCTTTGATCTTGGCGCGCTCAAACTAACAAACAAATTATTGAACAGTCGATTGGCATCGCATCACCTGTTCAGTCTGCATATACCACGCTTATGAAAATGTATGGAAAGTGCACCATTAACGGGAGGGAGTGTATGGGAATGATTAACCCGTTGAACCCTCGCCAAGCGATGCACCTCTCCTTTATTGCCTTCGACTTATGGGCTGAAGCTATTGTAAGTCTCTCCTTTTATTCACTCTTAACCAAAACTGACTCCTTTTCTATCTACAATAGGCCAAACATACTAATGGAGTCTCGATCCACAAGCCACCTACCGGACCCGAGTTTATCTGGGAGGATCTCAACCCTCCAGTCAACACTCGTGCATACTCTGCACCGAATCCTCAATCGACAAGCTCTGTGGGAATGGTTTCACTTGGCAACGGTTTATTTGCCTTGAACACCGATCACCAACAACCCGAAGCTCCAAACGAAGCTCCAACCGACTTGACACTCCCAACACCACCTCCTGATATTGAGGACTATCTTCGCTTCTGCACGATCAGCCAGGACGACTCCATCACTCGAGCTGTAATCAGAGACTTGGACATTGTTGACTTTGAAATGTTTGACACTCCAGAACTCAGTGTGGAGGAAATGAAAAAGTATGGTATTCCCTTTGGAGCTCGTGTTCGTCTCCATGCCAAATTGGCTGCCTATCGAGTTGATCTCAAAAGAAGAAACCGTTAACCAGTCTAACATTTCCTTCCTCAACACAAACAATGTACTGACCTAATGTATACAAGAATGTGCTCGCAGAGTTGTAGCCACAGTACTGTACAAGAATAACCAGAAATTATTATTATCACCTTTATGTTTTGTTTTTTGTAATGAAAAATTTGTGCCAATGAATAACTGAGTCCTTGAAATTGTATGAGACCCAGTTGACAATGATCAAATCTATGAGAACTTGAGTTCATCACTGAGTTATTGCTTTACAAGGAAATTTGCTTCTTTCATCAATGAACATTGTACAATCAATAAATTCTAGATTTATCAGCGTGACATTTCAATCCATAAATTGGCACTTGGTCTGATGACCTTCTCATTTCTCAAACGTGAGATCTTTTTTATCTCTCAGGTTTTTTTTATCATGTGATAACAAGGCTGCCACTATACTATACTATACTATACTGTGACTATACTTGGTATAGTAT